TCGTGTGTAAAATACGTCCTTAACTTACGCTAGAAAACTGTTTTTTTTTCTTTTCAGCATGTGTGAAGATGAACAGCGACGAATAGTTATCCCGGCTTCCCTCGGTTATGGGGATCAGGGTGTTGGTGATTCAATCCCTGGTGGTGCTACACTAGTTTTCGACGTTGAACTAGTTAAGATTGAACGTCCATCAAATGAACTTTAATTCTCGTCTCTCTTATTACTTGCTAAAAGACTGAAAATTTATGTTTATTTCTTGTTTGCATATAGAGTGCATTTCATATCTTATGATGTTTTTACACTAAAAAATTTTGTTCTAAGTTTTTGACGATATGTTTATTTATACTGTTTTGTTTGATCGTGTTTGAAATAAAAAATTCTTAATAAAGTAGTTTTTATTGCCTCAAATACAATATTAAAAAACCACTGCTTCTTTAAAATGTAACTTTCCAAATAGTACTTTGTTTCTCACCACTGCTCGAGAGAATTTTTTCAAGCAGTCTTTCGATCCTTGTGGGCAAAATTTGACCCATACAACGCTGATACGAAGAAAACGATGGTGACTACTTCTCACTATAGTTTTGATCAGCAACTCCTACTTATTCACTGACCTGCTTTTCTCTTGTTTCTTTCTTATCAAACTCTGTAAAGGGGAAAAACACTGTCCGGCAAGACGCAAAAGCTTTCGGCCCAATCCCTCCTGTCCGGACGGAAAAAGTTTCTGTTATTTCCAACAAATTTATTAACAGAAGCAATACAGGTGATCTTTGCGTCAATGAACTACTGTCTGTTAAAAAGAATAAGGCACGTGGCTATTTTCCAAATAACTCGAGAACGAAAAAAGATAAAACGTTGCGTTTTTCACCATTCGAAAGAAGACACTCGAAGACATGTTTTCATAATCAAAAGTTTTTCAGAAGAGTTTTCCGAAACAGATTCTCTGAAACAAATTTCGGTTTTTGCGCTTCTGATCTAGAAAATATGAACTTTTTCAGTGACAAAGCACGATGAAAAAAAAAGCAATCTGTACTTTCGAAGCTCGCTTAGTGGCTGTTCTAATAAAGTGTATCGGGATCCCAAAAAAGTTGTTGCGGGTTCAATCAATAAATGACGGTGAGTTTGTGTTAACAAATGATGGAAACGATCAAGGTACTATAAACACTCTTATATTAAGATATCAGCAGTGGAATTTTACGACGAACGTTTTCCGATCTTTCCGTACAGTTGATAAAAGCCTCTTTTTACGCTGTATAAGCACCGACAAAATATGAAAACCACATCAATCGATAGAGGAGAGCACGAGCTACATTTTGGTAAAAAATAATTTTGAAAAGCATTTTCCTTAGGATGAAAACGCGACTTTATGCCACAAGTGCCATACTCTTTAGTGTGACCTCGGAATCTCGAGAATGAGTGTGTGAAAAGAACATCGAATTATACCTTCATCTGTATGTTTAAGTTTTTTGTCTTTATCCTCCTCATCGTCATCATCAACCATATAAATATTTTTAACTGCTTCATGTGCACTTAAATCACCGTCGCATACCATCCATTTATAGCGTAATCTTATATAATAAATAAATACACTAATTGTTTGCAGAAGAGATGAAGAAAGCTAAAGCATATATGAGAACAATCATTTCATACTACCTTTTTCAATTGACCGTTCGAATAATCTCTTTGCTCCTTCTATTTCCATACCTTTCGCTGTTCCATCCCAATTACGTTCGCAAGAATTTTTATGCTTCTCAAACTGAACGAAGACAAAAACATATTGCTCAAATAAATAATAATCATTTATAAGTATTTTGAAAAAAAAATTGTACTAAAGATTGGCTCACCTAAGTCCGAAAATTATGTGCTAATTGTTTTCGTTGATTTTTTTCACATTTTTCGCAACGAGTGCTCAGCGCTTCAAAATTAATTGCTAACCCCGTATCCATTTCAATAATAAAGACAATACCGTACTGAGATACATGGCCTCTTTTCTTTCACGTCCCTAAACCAAACAAGATCATTTATAAGTACGAGAGAAAAAAATTGAAGTTTTTTTTTCTAACTGTAAAACTGTACCGTCAATTGAAACAACAATATTTAAAACACTATCTGTGCCTTCAGTCCTAATATTATGAGACGAACGAATTTTTTCAATGTTTGAATTTAAGTGTTTTTGGATGAATGTATTCAAATTGTCATATCTGAAAAGAAAACAACCATTCTATTGAAGCAAATTATCAGATTTCATCATCAAAACGTCTGAATAACTCACATTTGAAGCACTTGTGTTACAAAATTACTTTTATATGATATTTTTAAATATAAAATGGCTATAATTAAACTAAGATCAATAGACTTCTCAAAAACCGTTAATGCTAAAAATAAAAATTTAGAATGACCTCTATGGTAGTTACCTGTAAGAGCATTTGCCATATATAATCGTTCGTTAGTTCTTGACTTTGGTATAACGGTCTTGATTGAAAATTTGTGAACAACGAAACCTTTTGGCAAACTGAACCCCTGGCAAACACTTCAGCCCATTTTCATGGTAAAGTTCTTGTAGCAAATTTATATCGGCAATAATATAAAATGGACTTCTGAACATCAATGAGCAGCACCAAGTTGTTCTTGTAAACGATTTAGCTCAAATATTTGAGCACTTTTTGGAGATGTATTACGTTGAGACGCTCTAAACGATAAGAAAAATACCTCCTTTTATCCAGTAAAAGTACAATATAAAACACATTACGAAAAACAACTTACTTACCCCCTCAATGATTCTGTTATTTTTGATGTACGACTTTCAGCTGCAGCATCCAATTTTATACGAGAACTTGAACGTGAACGTGATTATGAACATGACGTTGATGTATTTGATTCAGAAGCAGATAATGTTCTTGGTCTTCTTGTACGTGACCTTATCGCACGATGACGTCTACCATATCTACTGTCCTTTTTGTATTTATCAGTTTCATTGACTGAACTTTCACCTAATACAAGATCAGAATCGGATTGATATTCAAAGTCAGACATCATAATGATCTGAAATAAATGACCAGTACGTAGAGATTATACAAAATAAGTGGTAGCAGAACTCTGTGCGATCTTCTGTTCAACGTGTTATCCCACAGAGAAAAGCATAATTAAGAACTTTTCGATTGATACTACCTCTTCAAAATGCTATAGATCCATTCGATATGCCATCGTCCATTATTCATGAAAATCTTTTTTCTAGGTTCAAAATCTAATAAGATAAAAAAGGTTTTGCAGAAATACCCTGAAATTCCCTTGAAAATCCCTTGGAGATTGTACAGTATCTGCCTAACTTAATCCTAAGTGTTCATTAAATGTCTCATGATAGATTTTCTATGAAAACCTCTTTTCCGGCTTCAAAACCTAATAACATCAGAAACGTTTTCTGTAAATCCTATCGAAATTCTCTGGAAATCTAGTGAAGATCTTGGACGTACATCCATAGAATCCGTCTTGGCCGATTTCATATAGAAGATGTTGATTAATACTGAAAAGTTCATAGCTCATAGTATACCTATAATATAAGATGTTCATGGGTTTTCCGATAGCCCTCCAACCACGATTGTACAGGAAAGGGTTCTACGGCAAGATATTTGGAACAGAACATGTTCACAATGCAAAATTACATAGGTGCATATTTATTTAATTCAAAAGGGAGATAAACTGAAGCTTATTTTTTAAACGTTTTATTACTTTTCAAAAAATGTTAGACTCGGATCTAGTTTATGACCTAAAACTTTGTATCTACGCAGTCTGCACTAAAAACAAAATATGTCATCCGGTAGAGATGAACGCAATCAACAACTTTTGCATTGACATAAAGTTTCTAAACTGCTTCATTGATGCCGCGGACTGCGCAAGAAATACTTTTAGCAGAAACACTTTTAGGTGCAAAATAGCTAGGAAAATCGATTTTTTCAATTTTTAAAAATTTCACCTCTCCGCCAAAACTTATGCAACTCGTGAGTTATTGCACACGTATACCCTTGAAGGTGTATGGTATGTTTTGATATGTTGTATATTTTGGGAGGGGACTCTGAAAAACTACAATAGCAAAGCATCATTATTAAAATTTGCTTCGTAAAGCGGCATTTAAAAGTGAAATATTTATCAACAATAGAAGATGACTGATTAACTGTGGTTCTAAAACTAGCTGCTCTAGCCCACACATATATACATACATATATATGTATTTGGATTGCATTTTTGGCTAGAGGAACTACTAATTAACGGTGCCACAAAACGCATTTCTTTCTACGTTAGCTAATAAATTCAAAATACATATGTATACTCACGTCTGATTGTCATCTTTCTTTTCGGCTGTATCTCACACGCTCATTTTAACGAATTTGGAATGAATGTTTTACTCCTTTGACTGAAAGTAAAGGTTACAGTAGGTGATGAACAACATAGCTACCAACTGTCTTGGATGAGGTTGAGGACATGACTGATAGTCGACATTTAAGGTCTGTTTCGGCGAATCTACAAATACATCGTTGTGTTCGATGGATACCTAATGAAGTGACCTAAAGCAGCAGGGATGCACCGTCTAAATGACGCAAGATGAGATCGAAGGCTTAAGAGGACACTTGCGGCTATTTATCAAAATAGCAAAACAAGTATGTTCCTGATTGAACGCTTGCAGGTTCAGTGTGTGTGTGTGTGTGCATTGAGTGAATGTTCTGTCATATTTTATTACGGTATTACCGCTGTAATGAACTGTGCAATATTACTGCACCGGTGCAAAAGATTGTCGATTCTGCACTGTAAAACGTGTCGATACGTACACCTTTTAGGTATAAGGAAAATAAAGTTTGATAGCTATGAGAGAAATAATTTTTGCTTTTGCCAACGCATTTCGTCACGGTTAAATAGATACAATATATGCCAAACAGCCGATTATTATTTCAATTCAGTAGGTAACTCATACCCGTTTACTCAAGTTTTTTTGCATTTACTCTATGTCGAATATGGCTGATAAGCGCCACCCGTGCGACCGTGATTCTGAGCGTTTAGTCTGTAAAAGGGGTGGCTCGATTATCAATTGTGGTATCGATTCCGGAGTTCGTGATCCCAATTGTACGAAGAATGGTAGTTTGCCGACGGATGACCTTGAACGAATACGTAACAGTGCCCATTATCAAAGAGCAATGGAAATTAAAAATGAACAAAAGTTCAAAACAGACAAAGTGGGTAATGGTGATTATGCTGCTACACTCAAAAAGGAGGAAGTGATGAATTGAAACAACATGAAACTTTCAAAAAGAACTATGAATTATACATGAAAGGTGACACTTGATTTTTTCCATAAAATAAGACTTTGTATGTGAGAGCGAACTATAGGTACTTATTGATGCTCTTATACCTTTTTTGTACAAAAGATCCCTACAGTGGGAGTTATCAGTTTATTGAATGAAAAGAATACATTCTCAAGAATCAAGCGAGATAATTGTTGGAAAGAAGTTCGACGAAGAACAAATATACCTTTGCTACATACTGAGAAAGTGCGATAGTTTAGTTATGATTAAGAAAAGAAGTAAGAGCTCATATCTCCTTCTCATCTAAGGAAAGTAGTGGTGTAGTCACTCGACGCGAGTACGGTCTCCTTGACAGCAAAAGTTTGTATCGGCATGGATATCGAGAAAAAATGCTTGTATGGTGGCTGCTTTGTCCCGAGTTGAGAGGTCGTAAAGCTGCGCAATACTGTTTTATTCTATCACCCTTAGGCCGTTGCTAGCAGAACGTACAAATCAAATTGTCGTGCTGTATAAAAGTCTCATTTGAGGAAGTCTCTCAAGTGTGTTAAAAAAACTTTGTAATTCAGGTTTTGGATGGAAAAAGGGAAAAATTTGTATTTTTTGACTTATTTATTCACGTGCTCATGCCACGTGCAGGATAAAAGTCATCTAAACTGAGAGTGAAGCATCCACTGGTATTTCCTATTGATGGGGTTAAGAAAGATCTAACTTGTATTTGTGTAAGAGTTAGATACGTCATAATATCATTACGGAATGTAACGTTTATCTACTTAAAAGCTAGTTGAAAGGCAATACATTAGTGTGTAAATAGCGCTAAACCATAAATACTGGCATAAGTGATACATAAGTACGTATCTCTCACTACTAGAGAACCGGGAAAACTGGCGGTGTACATTGAATGCACATACTATTACTGAAGAGGAACACTATTCTACTGTGACACTCTTTTTTCAATCGTTCATACGTCGATCGAAGAGGGTATCTCGATAGTAAATGATTAGTGTCAATGACTGTTCAAGGCTCGGTTTTCTGGAAAACCATTTTCCAGAAACTATGACCAAAACCTTTCCTTAGTCAGACATGGTTGTAGCCAGCAAATTTCTGATTGAAATGAGACATCTCCCAGCTCTACACGATCCTTCTTTGCAAAGTTATAGATTTTACAACAAAAGCCCTGAATGAATTTCTTCTGATTTCTTTAGCTATGGCTTTGAGCTGACAATGAACATTTAGGGCTTTTCTTGTAAATTCTATAACTTTGCAAAGAAGGATCGTGTAGAGCTGGGAGATGTCTCATTTCAATCAGAAATTTGCTGGCTACAGTCATATCTCACCAGGGAAAGGTTTTGATTATTTTTCACAGTTTCTAGAAAACCGTTTTTCCAGAAAACCGGATATTCAGGCTTTTTAACATCCCGATACCCTCTATCGATCGACGTATGAACGATTGAAAAAGGAGTGTCATAGTAGAATAGTGTTCCTCGTGAAAACTAGAAAAATGTAAGAACTGGAGAACTTGTGTGAGGGTACATATTTGAATGTGCATACTGTTGAGAACCGAGGAAGGTTTGTGGATCGCATTTGTTATGATGGAAGGGTGAACACCAAATATTCTATTTTTTTTATTATGAAAATAAAAGATACAATACCCGATCTGTATAGGATAGCTCTCTCGATTGCTGTTCCTAAGTTTAGGTTCTATAGAGCGACAAATTGCGTTTGTCACAATTCAACTGATTAAATAACAAGAGAGAAAAGACTTCACTTTTTCGGCGATGAGTAAGAAGAAAAGTCATTTTGATAATGTTTTAGTTTTGCATTTTGTTCTTCACATGTTTGTGTATTAATTTTGCATACATCCAGATTTGATATATGAAGCTTATCCACCACAAATACCATATTCGCTAACGTTAAACTTGTTGTTCAACTTGGTGTTTGTATAATTTTACCATTGCACATACGTGTGCTCAAGGTAAGTAACTTAATAAACTACAAGCATTATCGTAAATGAGGTACGAATGAATACACACTTCCGACGTCTGTGGCAGACAGGCGTTTGGGTCTATAACGGCTTTCAGATCATTTTCCAATTCCGTTTTCAAAGGTGAACAAGAATATAGTAATTTGAATTTTTCAAGTTCAAAAGAAACTTGGAAAATTCAACTTTAAAAAAAGACCCGACAAATCGGGTTTTGCACTACCCCCGTCTAAGAATCCAATCTCTTCCGCCAATGGCGGTGAAGGTATATGATATCGTCGTCTCGTCTCGTACTCGCATCCTATCATATGAGTTAGAAAGTCAAAAACATAGAAACCTTATTCATCAGATGTTATTGTTTCTTCAGTAAATGAGCATATAAATCGGTCAGGTTTTGCACATCCATCTTAAACTATTCCGCACGAGCAGTTAGGACCACATTTATTTAAATATTTATGGCTTGTCCAAAATATAAAGTGAATTCTGTTTCCCATTGTGGATAATTTTTGTTAAAATATTCATTTCGTTCATCAGTGTTACTAATATTGAGTGGAATCTGAATTTCATATTGCTTCGATACAAAAAAACTAAACAAAGCGGTGGCCTAAATCAGCCATATATTTCGAAATAAACGTCGTTGCAATAATATTTGATTTCCTAATATTGAGTCATCATTATTATTTTACTGTAGCGTACTGTATTGAGCGTACTGTATGTCTGATGAGAATCTTAAAATTAACTCAATTGCGTACGCATTCTTTCCACCCAAATAAATATATCTATCACGAGTAATAAATTGTTTAGATTCCCGAACATAACTGTTGGAATAGTAGTCGACATGCCAACACCGTGCAGAGTATGTACAACCGTTTTCAACAGCCTCATTCTTAAATACATATACGTGTTCTTTAAACTTTAATTCTAATGATGGATGTTAAACAAATATCGGTAAATGGCTTAATTGTATGTAATGATGTATGTGTAGAAAAATATGGGTTTTTTGAATAATTGTTTATTAAATCTCCTATACTTTTTGATAGAAATAATTCAACTTCATCTTAAAGTTTGTGACGTTTTAATAAATTTATCATTGCTTCAATCTAATCCAATTTATATTAAACATGATAAACTAATCGAATAATATTTGATATATCTTGAAATTTGGTTTTTATGTTTTATGAATTATCTAATCGCTGATCAATATCAAACATTAAATTCAAACGCTTAAGTGGAATATTTCTATTTAATGATACAATATATGCTTCTTTTTCATTCAAACTTCTATTGGATCGATTAAGACACATTTAGAAGTAAGAAGGCTAATTAAACATATCGTTTTAAAGTGTACATGAATATACAGAACAAACAGTAGTTATCATGGTCGCAGTATTGTGCCATATACTAATATTAGCAGGCTCATCGTATACCCTCAGTACTGCCCTGTTTAGACGTTATATCAGCGAAGTCCTGCAATCATAAATAGAAGCATGTAAAATGGTCAATTTTTTATTCCTCAGATAAGTATGGTTAAAAAGTAAAATAAAAGAAGTATGATCTTTGTAAGAAAAGCAGACTAAAGAAAAGATTAAAGTTTATCTTTTAGGAACATTGAATATTTCAAGTTTTTAGCTGAGAGAGAAGACCGTGTTTTTCGAACATAGCCTGCGATTGAGAATGCGCTCTCACTGGAGACTGAGGTTGCGGGTATAGGACCGAATCGACGTGCCATCTAGTTCAATATTGGAAGTAAAGTTGAATGTTTTCTCAAGAATGACGCAAATGTATGACCGTTTTTCTCCAGTGCTTCGAGTTGAGCAAGCTCTTGCTTCAGCATGAAAGCTTTAGCAGTAGTCGTTGAAAAAATTTCAATTTTTAAAAATTGAAAGGAGCTGTTCAAACATATCAGCTCCTTTCAAAAGAACTGTTCAACAGTTCTTTCGCTCAAATGAGCTGAACTTATGAGCTAGAACTGTTACAGGTCTAATTATAACACGTATTCCTCCTTCTTTTGGAATCGAATCTTCTTTCAAAAGTGTTTGACATTCTCTGTTTTCTCTTTCTTAGAAAGGTGCAATCGAAGACTAGGATATCGATCATTTTCTTTGTTGCTTTAACAGTAACAGGCCAAACGAATTTGTAATAAGAAATATATATAAAACGGTTATAAAACATGATTAAAAGAGTTTTATTCTTTCCTATCGAAGTAGACGTTTAACGTAATTAAACTTTTTTGTAATTCGCTTATTATTTAATTCATCAAAGTCTATACGAAGCTTATGATACCTTATTTTAGTTATTAAGAGAACGTGGAGAGCAACATCGTCTTACACATATTGATCAAAAAATAACCTATGAAATATCAGAATTAATCGGCGAATTTACTGCTGTTTTTGAAAATTTGAAATTTAGTAAAAAACCAACATTACAAAACGTGATTCCAAGTTATTATCTTATGAAACAATATTGTATTGTTGATAATAAACGTAAGAATTCAATTATAAATCAACTAAAATCAGAAATAAATAAACAATTAGATGATAAATACTGGACAACAACAACGTCTTTACACTGGATTGTAACATATTTAGATCCATTGTTCAAAGAATTATCTTTTGTAAATGATCGTAAATTTTTAGATGATCAAAAAAACGTATTATAGATGGTCTACTAGTCTTAACAGAGGATTTTGAAGATTTTCTTACACCAACCACAACAACTGACAGTTTTCCTTCGTCGTCTCTCTCTTCAACTGCCACAACAGTAGCAACAACAACATTCATACCTCCATTAACGAAAATAAAGAAAGATGATCCATTTGCCAGTATGCGAACGAATCGATCTGGCGGTTCTTCCACACAACCACAAGTTTCATTTCAAGACGAAACAAAAAAATAAATACAACTCTATGAAAATTCAGCAACTTACAGCTCATCACAAGACAATAACACTTTAGTTTTCTGGAGCGAACAACAACAAATTATTCCTATCTTAGCTAAAATTGCAAAATCTATTTATGTCATTTAAGCATCGTCAGCTGAATCTGAGAGACATTTTCCAACAAGTGTAGAAATAGCTTGACATGTGTAATTTGATTAGACTCTATAAGATAGTTGATGTAAAAATTCCAAATTCGACTGAAAAATTGATGGTCTGGTTTTGCAGTAATCTTACTTGATTTTTCAGCGGATTTTAAAAGATCGAAAAATAGAAAAAGACAGACTTCTTAAGTCCAAGTAATAATGTGTCGTTATGAGGTTCTACCTTTTAAATTGACAGTTTCTTGCAAAAATCGCAGAATGACTTTCGATAAAGAAACTGAACCCAAAATGTGTCAACCATTAGTGTATTAAAAAGTTGTTAGTTGCCGTTTAAAACAATTTTATAAAACAAATTTCGGCTAGAACGTTTGATTAATCTGAAAAAGCAATACATTAGCCTTTGTTCAGCTCAAAATGAAAATTTTTCTGCCAACGAGAGGGCGGTGGGGATACCCTTAAGTATGTTTGGGTGGTATTTGAACCCTAAACGACCATCCTCAAACTTCATTCTTAATATCTTAGTCTACTAACCTCATTCATAAGAATAAAGCTTTCATCTAAGGTTTTCTACAAATTCTTTAATATTAGGTGAAAATAATGTAACAACGCTGCGTTTTGTAAAACTTGTTTTCCATTAGGTTTTTGAATTCTTCTACAGGAAAATACAGTACCACCACCTGAAGTGTTCCTGGGCTTTTCTTCGAGTGGTTTTCTAAAGTTCCATCCCAAGCCCTATTTTCGAAAAGACGCAAGATGAGATCGAAGGCTTAAGAGGACACTTGCGGCTATTTATCCAAATAGCAAAACAAGTATGTTCCTGATTGAACGCTTGCAGATTCAGTGTGTGTGTGTGTGCGTATTGAGTGAATGTACTGTCATATTTTGTTCTTGAAAATGTTGAAACAAACTGAAAATGTTGCACGTTTATACAAATAACATTTATTTTGCCTTATTTTTATGCGCGTTTGCATGATGACTGTCATTATTATGTTATTCTGTTTTCTTCTCGCTGTATCACTTTCTCTTGCTTCTAAACATTCCGCATGTATGTGTGTGTGTATTGAGTGAATGTTCTGTCATATTTTATTACGGTATTACCGCTGTAATGAACTGTGCAATATTACTGCACCGGTGCAAAAGATTGTCGATTCTGCACTGTAAAACGTGTCGATACGTACACCTTTTA